TATTCCCGTTTTCCAACCTGAGTGTGATATGATATACTTCTCAATTATTTGTTGTATTCTCCTAAAAATGTTTTAATACAATGTCAATCCAATTGAAAAAAAATAAATATTTAGAAAATTTTCAATAATTGACAAATGTAGGCTTAAAGGAATGAAACGCTACCGATTTTCGCCAAAAATATCTCAAAATAACAACTACGACGTGGTGCAATTCAAATAGCACGATACTAAATTCGTGAAAATGCCAATATGTTGCAAAATACTTTTTGCAAATTTTTTTTTTTTTTTGTAAATATTGTCCCAAGTATCCAGATAACCCTATAATATTCGGTATTTGGCTGTAATTTTACATTTTGGATGATCATTGAGTAGAAAATGTTCCTAACAAAATTTACCCAAGCTTCCGAAATCCATATAATGGAACTCAACATTATAGAATGCTTTGGGGATTTGGGCACCTTTTTCAACCTCAATTAGTTGTTTTATTTGGTGAGTCCAAAATCTCCTTACAAAGAATTATCAATATTGGTCAAAGTTTGTGGGTTGCACCCACATAATGTTATCCCCCTTAATTTCTCATGTTGTGTAGAATCTTCCTACCAATAATTAATATGTATCCATTCCCATTGTTGTAGTTAAATTAATTAATTCCGGGATATTGGGGGGACACATTTTTGCGACAAAATATCTACTTAGGTCCGAGTTTTGATATAGCATCTATATAGCATAATACCCCATTTATTATAAAGTATTAAAAAGACATTGACCGAATTTCCTAATAGAGTTGGCTATAATTAGGCATAACGAATTCCTGTGAATAAAAAACATCATTCCAGGAATTTTGCACTACAGCTTCACGTTAAAAAACGCCATAATTATTTTCAGTTCAATTTTCGGTATGTTGAATTTCTTACTCCCGTTTTCCAACTTGAGTGTTATCGGTAGTTAGCATGTTCAATACGAATGGGTAACATCGGACGGAGGTTTTCGTATAAACTTCAAGTCGCTACGACATCGCTAATTTTTATAATTTTTTTTTTTTGTTTGTTGTTCTCTTTCCAGCTGAGCTTAATGATAGATTTTTGCAAAGAAGAAATCTCGTATATTGCACTGTGATAAACATTTTTAGTGTCGGATATATGCGAGGTGTTTATAAGTTCAAAGATATTGAACAACGATTAGGCATATAACCGCCTGATTTGATATTTCCCGTGGCATAGCAAAATTTCAGAAACTTTAAGGAACAACATGTTCCTATTATTATTATTTTCAAACAAATTAATCAAGGGCATGGATCTTAGAATCAGAATACCCTGAATGGACACGAACTCGATTCAGAATCTCTTCTGATTTTCCATCCTTGCATTAGTCCCAAAATGTACTTGCATTCTGTGGACGACCTAAGTCACGTCGTCTTCTCCTCGGCATCTTAACGTTATTAATTAATGACGTTAAGATGCCGAACAATAGTGTAACTATCACAGGGTCACTATCTCAAAGGATCACATAAGTAAAGAAAGTTCTCGCGCACGTATCGGTAATCGAAACTTAATCCTTTCAGAAACTTAATTTGTGACAAAATTTAAAATTTATCAAACTTAAAAAAAATTCTGACAACAAAAGCAAATTGAATGTATGAATCTACATTTTATTTAGAAAACATTTGTATGGGAAATATAAAAGTCAGCTTTTTAGAGATTTCCCGGCATTTATTCGATCTTTTCTCACCTTTTAAACCTTCCCTGAAGCTCCACGAACATTTCAAGACTAAGATAACAAAAAACCGTTCCGCCGTTCTCGAGTTTTAGCGAGACTAACGAACAGCAATTCATTTTTATTTATATAGATAGATTATTGAAATATAACAATTGAGATAGGGTTGCGAGTTTTTTTTTTTTTTTTTTGAAATGTTCATATTCATACTTCAACCCAATTTGTTATCGATTCTAATTCCGACCAGATAAACAAACAATAAAATTAAAATTAAAATCAACCGATATATATTGACCGATCATATATATGCTTACTTGCTGCGCTTCGTGTCGTCTTTGGTCAAACCCGAAACTACATGTAAAATTTCGTGACAATATCTGCGGCCTTTATTTCGATTATAACTTATAATAGACAACCTGGTGGTTGGACACACATTGATGCAGCTAGTCAGTATGCTAAATGTTAGGGATAGAACCAATATTTCGTGGTGTTTGAGGCACAAATAATCATAACATAGTTTTGCATAACAAGACAGCGGATTTGTCGGGATCAGCCAATTTGGCTAGAGTCGGAGTCGACTCCGACTTCAAAAAAATCCTTACCATAGACTAAAGAAATAGAATTTAATTGAATCTTCTGGCTGCCCAACTCATTTTTAAATGCTGATTTACTTAAATGCTGCTAGAATATAACGAATACAAGCTACGGCCTTGAACATACCAAATATGTACATATATTGAAAAGTATCTGTAGATAAATTGTTTACCCACCAAGGTTCCGGGACGTCCGTTATGCTAGAATATAGTCAAGTGCCAAAAAATAGCGAAATTTGGGAGGTACCGTAAACAAAAAAATATGTAGAATATTGAGAGATTTTGGTGGGGTGCTATCGAATTAGAAAATAACCGAAATACAACAGGTTCGGTTGGAAAACTTTACCAAATTACCGAATATAACGGGGTACTGTTACGAGGGCGGTCCGGAAACTTCTTAGCCTATCAATGAAAGAGAATTGTTAGGTTTTCAAAAATTGTTTTATTTTGTTTTTGCAAAATAATCTCCTGAAACTTCAATACACTTAGTCCAACGCTTTTCTAGCAATTCTATCCCTTGATTAAAATCGTTCTCCTCAAGGTCTTCAAAATAGCGGTTTACAAGTGTAATTGCTTCTTCATCTGAGGTAAAACGCTAGCCAACAAGGATTTTTTTTTTAGATTTGGGAACAAGTTAAAGTCAATTGGAAATAAATCAGGACAATGGGGTGGGTGGTCAAGCAACTCGTACTTTAATTCTTTGATTTTAGGCATTGTTAAAACACTCTTGTGCGTTGTCTTGATGAAAACAAGTACTCTGAATTTATTGCTATGAAAAGAAGCTTAAAATCAATTTTATTTCGCTTAAAACGATCCAATGTTGCTTGAGAAATGTCCATTCTTATGCTTTTTTTATCGATCGACTGTTAACAAATGCGGCACCCATCTTGAAGAAAGCTTTTTCATCTGTAGTTCTTCATACAAAAACATGGACTCGTTCATTTGAGATGTCCATGATATTAGCAATTTCACGAACTTTTTATTCGTCGATCATTGCACTTTGGCTACAATTTCTGTTGTTGTTGCTATTTTTGGACGTCCACTACTTGGTTCAGCTTCAATGCGTTTAAATTCTGCAACCAAATTTTTTACTGTTGCATATGAAGGTGCACTTTCACCTAACACCCCTTTTTAAGTAAATATTTAATGAAAGCGCGCATTTCTAATTTTTCCATTGTAAAAAAAATTGCGGATGCGTCTTTTTTGAACACCTATTTCTATATGAAAAAATTGCCACTAGTCAATGTATGACTAATATCAATGTGGAAATATTCGAAGCTCCATGGTACAATTATAAAAGGTAACAGCAAATCCCAGCTGATTTGATTCCAACGTAATACTAGTGTCAATATGAATTTGACAAATTATGTTTTTAAAAATCACCCTACAGGAAAATTGGGAACGCATACAATTTGAAATTGTTCTTTATTAAATGTGCTCCTGTATTCAATTTACTCAATCTGCCTGCTGGGAAAGTTTGAGGAAGCAAATCTTTCTTCAAGGAATAACTCGCTATTCCCAGCATTTTCATATGTGTTACACATATATATGGCAATGGCTCAATTATAGGAAAGATGTGGAAGCGATAGAAATATAAATTTTATAGATTTTCATTCATGTTTCTCACTTTTTATTTTGAGGATTCGAAAATCTTTCATTTTAAAAATAAAAATAATTTGATGATAATTTGTTTGTTTGTTTACATTTTTTTGTCAAATGAGTTGACACTAGTAGAACTTACAACAACAAATTTCCATGTGGTTGTTGTATCGTTTTTTGTACAACAACACTTGCTGTTACCTTTTATTATTATACCATGTCGAAGCTCTATAATCATGGCAAACTCACAGAAGGTAGTCTCATTTGAGAATTTTATGATGGCAACCCTTTTTTAATTTGAAACTCATATATCAATTACAAATAATATGAAAAATAAAATGTCGGATTGAAAAATTGCTCTCAGGATTGAACCATGGTTGTTACTTCTTATATTTATAAGTTTTAGAGGCAATCGATCTCAAATATCAAATATAATCCACAGGATTTGTGAACAGGATTAACGTGACGTATACGCAATGGAATTGACATTTGAGATCGAGTGGATTTAGTAGTAGTACACGCGAAGAGGATCTGACCAAGTACTTAGAACGGCTGTTTTGATGATGATCGGTCAATATTCCGAGGATCAAATCAACCAAAATCTAAATTGACCAAGTTTTTATTTTATGGCGTAAATATTCACCTCTGCAAAACAAGGTAATATCGGTCAAGAGGCTGCAAATATCGCGAAATATTACCCAGACACAGAATATAGAACCAAAGAGAGTTAGTCGACCCTGTCCGACTATACTGCTCCATTCACTGGCTTTTTGGATGGTTTTGTGTTTATGGTCGACATTGTTGGGGATAATTTGGGAATAAACCTACGAAGAAATGTGGCAACGCTATTCTTATTAACATACATATTTATTTCATACTTTCCAATAATCATGTCTATATGTATGTACGTATGTATATAAAGAATTATCATCTGAGCGACTGAGAGCGGTGCGTTATGCTCTGTATATAAACTTCTGGCGACCAAATAAAAGATTCAGTTCCAACTTTGTTTTTGATTTGAAAGCCGGCCGGCAAAAATATTCCATTCGATTCGCGTATATCTGCAAAAAGTGTGTGTGTACGTACTACAATAAAAATGGCAAATCCACAAGAGGAACCTAAATACACAAAGGTAAGGTGGACGCAGTAAATATTTGTATGAAATGATTTGCGATAGGCAGAAATCTACAAGTTCTATTATAAATATTATGAGATTTTCGTTTTGCAAAACAAGAATCAGTGCAATACCGGTTTTTGCAATTTGATGCCCTGCGCCGTAAACATCTGTTTCATTTTTCTGTAACAAAAAACAAAACAAAAACAAAGAATTGAACACTGAAAGAAATGTTCTCGAAGAAGTCTATCAATATGGTTTATTTTAGCTAATTAGTTAAAATTATGGTGTCAAATGCTATAACAATTTTTTGCAGATATGAACAAAAGGAACAACTCTAGTTTAGTAAAAAGGACCCGATTTTTTTGAAATTTTTTCCAGAGGTAGGTATTTTGACCCTAATTATGGGAATGTTTTTTTTCTTGGGGGACGTACGCGGTTACCCGGTTATTTGACCCGAAAGTTCGGGTCCTGGTACCCGGTTCTACGGATCCGATTAATACAAAATGGGTATCATTTTTAAGGTTATAAAAATCTCAAACCGTTTTGGAGACACAGCCAAAAAAGTGGATTTTGGACCCCTATTTTTATGAAAAACTCCCTAAAAGTCGAACTTGGGTCCATTATGGTCCCTCCCTGATAGACTACAATTTGCTCTTTCCAAAATGGTACGGCATGTGGCTGTATCTATTGTGGATCAAAAGATATGGGCCTTAGAACCCTGCAAACCGACTATGTCAAATTCATGTTTAGTATTAACATGAATGTCTTATATGCAAATGCAAAGATATGAGATATGACAGGCACCAACACCGGCTACGCGACAGAATCTCCTTTTATATAGAATAGTTTACTGGGTAGCCGGCCTTCGGCCGGGGATTTAGGACTTTCTCCTATGGACAGATACCAACACCGGCTACGCGACAGAATCTCCTTTTATATAGAATAGTTTACTGGGTAGCCGGCCTTCGGCCGGGGATTTAAGACTTTCTCCTATGGACAGATACCAACACCGGTTACGCGACAGAATCTCCTTTTATATACAATAGTTTTCTGGGTAGCCGGCCTTCGGCCGGGGATTTAAAATTTTCTCCTATGGACAGGTACCAACACCGGCTACGCGACAGAATCTCTTTTATATAGAATATTTTTCTGGGTAGTCGGCCTTCGGCCGGGGATTTAAGACTTTCTCCTATGGACAGGTACCAACACCGGCTACGCGACAGAATCTCCTTTTATATAGAATAGTTTTCTGGGTAGCCGGCCTTCGGCCGGGGATTTAGGACTTTCTCCTATGGACAGATACCAACACCGGCTACGCGACAGAATATCCTTTTATATAGAATAGTTTTCTGGGTAGTCGGCCTTCGGCCAAGGATTTAAGACTTTTTCCTATGGACAGATACCAACACCGTCTACGCGACAGAATCTCCTTTTATATAGAATAGTTTTCTGGGTAGCCGGCCTTCGGCCGGGGATTTAAGACTTTCTCCTATGGACAGGTACCAACACCGGTTACGCGACAGAATCTCCTTTTATATAGAATAGTTTTCTGGGTAGCCGGCCTTCGGCCGTGGATTTAAGACTTTCTCCTATGGACAGATACCAACACCGGCTACGCGACAGAAACTCCTTTTATATAGAATAGTTTTCTGGGTAGCCGGCCTTCGGCTGGAATTTAAAACTTTCTCCTATGGACAGATACCAACACCGGCTATGCGACAGAATTTTCTTGTTTTTGTAGGGTTCTAAGGCCCATATCTTTTGATCCACAGCAGATACAGCCACATATCACACCATTTTGGAAAGGGCAAATTGTGGTCTATCATTTGAGTCGGGTGAGGAGAGGTACTATAATGGACCCATGTTCGACTTTTAGGGTGTTTTTCAAAAAATAGGAATTGGAAAGGTATTTTTTAAATGAAAAAACCAATAGTACCAATAGTCGGCGTCTGTTCTATATATCTTCAAATAACTAAAAAAATCCTATAACTAAATATGAAAAAATTCCTTGAATAATCCTCAATAATACTGTAAACTATCTCTGTATGAAATTTAATCGTTTTAAGTACATTTATTCCGTCAAAATTTGGCATTCGGTCAATGAGGTTTGCCAACACCAATGACAATGATGTTTCTTAAGAAAAAATTAGTGGACTTGTAACTATATTAAAATTATACATTTTTCACAAGGATCTGCTTCGTAATTGTAAAGAACAAAAAGGAGAATACTTTAGAATCATTAAAATATATTTGTAATTATGATATTTTTATCGATGCCGCCCTTAGGAACAAACATTTTTAAGGTTTTCCTATAGTCGGCATATGGGTAAAAAAAGCACCTTTTCGATCATATTGGCCCAAAATTGGAAAAAATGTCAAATAAGTGCTCTATATAACGATTAATTTAGAAGAAATCAGTTTTGGATGGTTCTACGTAATGGAAGACATGGTTTTAATATCAAATTCTTTTAACCTTTGAAATGCCTTATTTAGCCATGCCGAATTGGATGGATAAAAGGTTCCCGAAGTCGGCACAATGTTTTATAATTGTAATATTTTTATAAGTAAAATTATTTTATATAATTTTTTTTAATATATCTCTGATGGAAACGTCCGATAATAATAATTTATTAATGAAAATAGCAGAAAAATTAATTCAATAAATAATTTTTGTTCAACTAAAGTACGACATGCCGACTATTAGAACATGATATGCCGACAATTGGAAAAAAGTGCCGACTATTGACACAAAGGCAATATTTTACCTAATTATCAATTTAGTCTACTTTAATACAAATTAATTAAATATATTTTTATTGCAAGGGGGAGTATACAAAATTTGGAAATATATGAACCTAAATACAATATAGTGAAAAAACGTTATCGGCATGGTGAAACGTTTAAAATGCTAAAAACCTTAAAGTGCCGACTATTGGTGCACTTACCCTATGATGCCGTACACCACTATATGTCAAAGACATAAAATCCGTTGTATGTCCGTGTATTTTTGTATGTATATTGCTACCTATATATGTTAAAAATCTCTCTAGTATTTATTTTATATTTGACGAAAGAAGCCTCAAGAGATCCTACATTGAATTGTTGTCCATTTATGAGGTGTTCTAAGTATCGCAATTCATATATATATATATATATATAGGGAGTAGGGTTGGTGTGTGGATTTGGACGGATTTGTATATGGAAGCTATGTTGAAATTTGAACCGATTTAATTCAAACGAAAAATCGGACGAACGTATATATGGGAGCTATATCTACATCTGAAATTTTTCACTTAGTACTCTTCGGTCCAAATCTGATCCAGAGATCTATATCTGGTGACAAAAAGTGAATTTAAGGCCATGGCATGGAACGACAAACATTCCAATAAAAACTACTCAATAAGTAAAGAAATACAAAATCGCAGTTGTTAATACAAAACAGGCCACAAAATGCTGTCATAGCGAGACCTATATCACATAAACATACACACACATATTCTAATTATGTCGACATAATTAGGAACTTTTATTTGTTTACGTTTGTCTATTCAAACAAGTTTTAATTGTTTTTGGTCCATTATTAAAAACGATGTATAATGAAAAAAAAATAAAAATCATCTTGTGGACAAGCTTTATGCACAATGATATAAATAGACAATATTTGCAATAAAAATCGTGATAAGAATTTGTCAACACTTTTATTTTTGAACATATAATAAAATAAAGTAATTTATATTCTGATCGTATTCTAAGCCACCAAAAATAAAAATCTGTCTGATAAGAATGATAGTTCAAAATCTCTGTCAATGTTACCCTAAATTTGGCTTGTTTGTGTATATGTAGTTCTAAGGGGTGTGCACAGAACGATAGTTCTAGACGCGCTCATCTATAAAATCTAAATTTTAGCGAAATTAATAACCTGTCCACTGGCCGATCCCCAAATTGTTTTTATTTATATATTGGTATACACATTTATTTTTATTTACAAAAGTAAATATGAGATACATTTTTATAAAAATTATATAACCGGTATAATCATACAGTTGTTGTTGTAGCAGCCCTATTGCTTTTACACATTGAGCATGTAGTAGGTTGGTCCGTCAATTTAACTATAATTATTTATATTTCTTTCAATAGTCCCTTAACACTTTGGCACCGAATTGTAACAAATTACAACCTGCATGCATGCATATGCATGTAATATGTTAACCAGTTGACTTACACGGTTTACTTATTACCGCGAATTGTTTAAACAAATGTTGTTTCAATTGAAAGTGACAATTTCAATCAACTATAATAACGTCATATTAAAAAACGCTTGACCAGTGAAATGCATTAAAAAATAATCACAATTAATTGTTTAATGCGAATACATGGAAATCAACAGAAGTATTACTGAATTGGCATAAACGGAGTTCCCCTCTGCCTTTTCTGATGGGTAGCTGATTTTAATGCGATTAGTCTGTAATTTGCATTTCCAAATGCTTGCATTTCCAAATGCTTGCTTGGTTTAAGTCTCAAGCACATTTTGAGCCGAATGGAGAATGTTCAATATGAAATAAAATTTTGAAATTATAGGCTTGTACAAAATTATGAAATTGGACTGCAATTTCGTTTACGTCAATTTTAATAAATAATTTAATTTATACAAAGTAACACATTTCTTATTAAATTAATATCCAACTATGTAGTGTTATTCCATTAAGTGATTCTTAAGTGTTTCTGACAGACATACATTTAACAAATTATCACTTGGATGCGTGCCGGTAATAACTTTACCATTTCGAATTCAATTACGTTAAAGTAATTGTTTAAACAAATCTATAAACATGTGTTGGCGATAATCGAAATCTTCTATAAATAACATCGTTCATCTGTCATAACAAACGCTTAATAAAGCAATACTGCTACAATATGAATTGACATTAATTGTTCAATGTTGACATATACAAATCAGTACAAGTATTATCTTTATTGTCATGCATGCAGAATGCAATTCAACCGAGAAACTTCTGATGAACTGTTGTTCACATTGACAAAACCAGTAAGGAAAGTAGTAAAGTCGGACGGGGCCGACTATATGATACCCTTCACCACTATGGGTATATTAAACAGGACTATTAGCATGAAATTGGATGAAATAAAATATGTGATATTTATCTAAATGTGAATCTACCTAGATATATCCATAAAGTATGTAAATCGACTTCAAAGAAATATAAATAGGTCATCCGTTGGGCTATGTCTGTACTTCTAGAAAACGCAACTATATAATTTTATGCTCAATTTTGTACGATGTGCAAACTTTTATGTCAATCTGACTATGAGGAGTTTGATGCCCAATTTACTTGAAATCGGGCGAAAATATATATGGTGCGTCAATTACTTAAAATCAATCTATAATAAAAAGGGCTATATCTATCTAAATCTGGCGAAAATATATATGGTGCGTCAATTACTTAAAATCAATCTATAATAAAAAGGGCTATATCTATCTAAATCGATTTTCACGAAACTTGGCAGACATCATTCTAGACCTAAATTATTAGGCTGCACCAAATTTCGTGCAAATCGAAGGATATATAGGGACTTTGCTGCAACATTTACATGAAATCGGACGAAACTATATATGGGAGCTATATCTACATCTGGACCGATTTTTTCGAAAGTTGACAGACATCATTCTACGCTCAATTCAGTACGTTATGCCAAATTTCGTGCAAATCGAAAGATATATAGGGACTTTGGGGCACCATTTACATGAAATCGGACGAAACTATATATGGGAGCTATATCTAAATCTGGACCGATTTTTACGAAACTTGGCAGACATCATTCTAGACCTAAGTGATTAGGCTGTACCAAATTTCGTGCAAATCGAAAGATATATAAGGACTTTGGGGCACCATTTACATGAAATCGGACGAAACTATATATAGGAGATATATCTAAATCAGGATCGATTTTCATGAAACTTGGCAGACATCATTCTAGGCTCAATTAAGTACGTTATGCCAAATTTCGTGCAAATCGAAGGATATATAGGGACTTTGGGGCACCATTTACATGAAATCGGACGAAACTATATATGGGAGCTATATCTAAATCTGGACCGATTTTCTCGAAACTTGGCAGACATCACTCTTGGCTTAATTAAGTACGTTATGCCAAATTTCGTGCAAATCGAAAGATATATAGGGACTTTTGTGTACCAATTACATGAAATCGGACGAAACTATATATGGAGGATATATCTAAATCTGGACCGATTTTCGCGAAAGTTGGCAGACATCATTCTAGGCTCAATTCAGTACGTTATGCCAAATTTCGTGCAAATCGTAAGATATATATGGACTTTGGGGCACCATTTACATGAAATCGGACGAAACTATATATGGGAGCTATATCTAAATCTGGACCGATTTTTACGAAACTTGGCAGACATCATTCTAGACCTAAATGATTAGGCTGTACCAAATTTCGTGCAAATCGAAAGTTTTATAGGGACCGTTTACATTAAATCGGTTAAATATATATATATATATATATGGGAGCTATATCTAAATCTGATCCGATTTTTCCCAATTTCAATAGGGTTCGTCCTTGGGCCGAATAAGTGACCTATGCCAAATTTCATCCAATTCGGATCATAAATGCGACCTGTACTTTGTATACAATTTAACATGGACAGACAGACGGACGGACGGACATGCATAAATCGGCTTAGAAAGTGATTCTATGTATATTCTCAAAAGGAACCATGTGTCTATCTCGATTATTTTTGCCTGTTACAAACATATGCACAAAGACATAATACCCTGTACCACAGTGTGGTGAAGGGTATAAAAAGTGAAAGCTTGAGATAACGCTGTGCTAATATGAAGAGTGAAAATGTCTGGCCCTTGTTTGAATTGCTTTCGGAATTTCAGTTATGATTAAGTACATTAAATCATATTAATAGAACATCGTTGTTAAATAACGTTAAATAACCCATAATTAATTGGATTAAGAAAAACAAACAGGAAATTTTCAATACAAATTGCATCCTTCTAAATCACTGCACCAGATCAACTTAATAAAAAAACAAACACATGAAATCTGCACTTTACCTATCTCAGGCTGTGTACATATTGTGAAAGAAATAAATATAAGATTTAAATACTTAATTTTAAACAGTTTTGAGTTATTTGTCAGAGAAGAAAATGCTACAATAAAATGGAAATAAAAACAAAATAAAAAGTACTATTTATTTAAACTCTTAATTTTTTCAGATTGTTTCCTACATAACTATTAAATTTTAATTATTTTCTTTTACATTTTAGCTTTTCATTAACAATGAATTTGTTGATGCCAAATCGGGCAAAACATTCCCAACTGTAGAACCTGCCACTGGTAAGGTTATTGCTCAAGTTGCTGAGGGCGATAAGGTAAAATATTGCAATTACTTAAGGGAACCTCCCCATTCTCGATTTTATTTTTTCAAGATTTTCAATGGGCTGGTAAATCTATACCAATGCTTGTTAAGGTTTGTAACTTTGCACATATATAATTGAAGATTTAAAAGAGAAGAAAAATAATTTACAAAAAAATTTTGTTATTTTGTTGTTGTTTTTTGTAATTAAGGAAAAGTCCTTATTTTTGATGGCGGGCATGATAACTCCTCACTGGAACATCGGAATCCGAAAATTCCAACGGTGTTAGAAAGAGTACATGTCTGGCTCTCGTATGAACTAGGATTATTGACTTCGCTCTAAAATTAACAAAATGGTGGACCTTTGAAAAAATATTTTTGGAAAATCGCCGATTTTTTACCAAAAACCAAGTTAAAAAATAAGGAAGATCTTCACCGATTGGCTTTATCCTAGTTCATACGAGAGCTATACACTCCCAGAGAAACGTTGCAAAATTTGGAACCGATTGGATTATTAGTTTTTGAGTTATCGTGCCCGCCATTCGCAAAAAAATTTTTAGAGAAAAACGCGTTTAAAGTTTGAGAAGCCCTTCAGCCGTCACTTGATGCGGACACAATAAATCGGATATATCTTCAAGAGTTCTTGAGATTTTCACTTGAAATTTTGTAGAGACATTCTTTAATCAGTGTAGATTCGAATTATATCAACAAAAATTTTGACCCCGAGAATGGGGGGGGTCCCCTTAATAGAAATTAAATTGTCTTCTAAAACTATTTTTTTAATGTTCTTAATTTTAGGCCGATGTTGATTTGGCTGTAGAAGCTGCCAAGAAAGCATTCCACAGAAATTCACCATGGCGCAAAATGAGTCCTTTGCAACGTACCGAATTGATGCTCAAGTATGTTTTCAAAATACCTCTAATAACATTTTGTATAATAATCCATATCCCATTTACAGACTCTGCGATCTGATGGAACGCGACAAGATTTTCCTGGCTAACATTGAAACTCGTGATAATGGCAAGACTTATGCTGATGCCCTATTTGATGTGGAGACTGCCATTGTCACATTGAAATATTATGCTGGCTGGACTGACAAATTTTTTGGCGATACCATTCCTGCTGGTGAATTGGTTTCCATGACCCGCAAAGAACCCATTGGTGTTGTTGGACAAATTATTCCCTGGAATTATCCAATTTTAATGTTGTCCTGGAAATGGGGTCCGGCATTGGCTGCTGGTTGTACCATTGTCATGAAACCTGCCGAACAAACTCCATTGTCTGCCCTACATATGGCTGCTTTGGCCAAGGAGGCTGGTTTCCCAGCAGGTGTTATTAACATCATTAACGGCTTTGGTCCTACCGCCGGTGCTGCCATTTCTGAACATCCTGACATAAAGAAGGTGGCATTTACTGGTTCCGTTGAGGTTGGTCGCATTATTATGGCAGCTGCTGCTAAATCGAATCTTAAGCGCGTATCATTGGAATTGGGCGGTAAAAGTCCATTGGTGGTATTCGATGATGCCGACCGTATGTTTTTGCTATTAATTTTCGTTTATGTATATTTTTCTTAAATAAAATTTATTTTATTTCAGTTGATTTGGCTGTAGACATTACCAGTGAAGCTATTTTCACAAATCATGGTCAATGTTGCTGTGCCGGTAGCCGCACCTATGTTCATGAGAAGATCTACGATGCATTTGTTGCAAAGGCCGTAGCCAAGGCTAAGACTCGTAAAGTAGGCAATCCATTCGATAAGGATGTTGTCCAAGGACCACAAATTGATGAGGAAATGATGACCAAAGTCTTGGGTTACATTGAAAGTGGCAAATCCCAAGGTGCCAAACTGCAATGTGGTGGCAAACGTATCGGAGATGTTGGCTACTTTATTGAACCAACAGTATTTTCAGATGTTACTGATGACATGAAAATTGCCCAAGAAGAAGTAAGTTGAGATTGGATACTTTAAATATTTTGGGGTACAGTAAAGAATTACAATTTCCGATCGGATACAATCAATAAACTCGTGTGGGTTACTCACAGATATTTCGGTTTTATGAAGTAGGTGAGAATAGACGTAGATTATTTTGAATAACATACTCCGAAATGCGGCATATAGTTATGAAACATATTTCAGAGAAAACGGTTAAATTATATATACCGAACAGTCGATGTATTTTGTAACGAAACGTAGGGATAGGATAGTTTTATGTTAGTTAATTTAATATTCCAGTGCCCTGTGATGAATGCAACATTTTAACATTTCAACCTCTAGTTTACGAGGAGAAAATAGAGAGTAGATTCTATTCAGTTATGTTCCATTTGTCCTTTTCTGTCGTCTATATTATTGACAACCTAAATCTTTGACTGGTAAACCATGACTTCCTCTATCATAGGAGCTTCTCTATATAGAACCAGATGGTCTAAATATAAAAAATGTAATTACAGTTGAGGTTGAACGACATGCAGTCATTACTTCATTCAAGATATTACGTCTTAAGGTAGTGGCAAAGACTGCAAAAATCTTAAGCTGGGGTCATTCGAAAAAGAGATTTTGTTGTACTGAAAAATTAGCACCTTTGTAGCTTTGTCAAATTTCCAATAATAACCGATTTTTTGTATTTATTTCATTCACAGATCTTTGGTCCCGTTCAGTCCATCATCAAATTCAGCAACATCGAGGAAATGATCGATCGTGCCAATAATACCAATTATGGCCTGGCTGCTGGTGTCATTACTAATGACATCAACAAGGCTCTGCATTTCGCCAACAATGTTGATGCCGGCTCCGTATGGATCAATTGCTACGATGCTGTTTTGCCACAAACCCCATTCGGCGGTTTCAAACAATCCGGCATTGGTCGTGAATTGGGAAAGGATGGTTTGGACAATTATTTGGAAACTAAGACAATTACCATGAAATTGTTGTAAGATGGGATATTCATTCCCCAAAACTAAATCCGTTGAACGGTTGAGATTAAAAAATAACAATTTTTGGTAAAAATATTGTATTTTTATTAATGTTACACCGTGTGGTTATACATACATTTATATATCTATATAAAAAGGAAAGAATGAAGATAAATATACACAAAGACTCACATATGTTGCACAAACACATACATACATTAAAAAAATGTAATTTTATTTTTAAATAAAAAACTATAAATAAAATAATTTTCTGTTTTTTAAATAGTAATTAAAATCATAGTTCGTTATCTTTAGAAAAAAATAATCTTATTTTGTTGAATACAAAACAATTTCGAGGCACTTTATGGAACATATTAATTGGAATCTATTGACCTATACGGCCAAATGTGAATACCATTTGTTTATGGATTACTGGAATTCAAAACACAAATAATAACTAATAATCGCAGTGTCGAAACATTTATACCTGAGATTTCAGTAAAAAATAGATTTACATATCGCAGTGTGTATTCTATGAGATTGATTTACAGAAATGCTGCTCATTGTAAGCGATTAAGTTCTTCTTTCACCCATGGTCAGAGGTACATTTGTGGCCAAGTTATCGAGTAAAGGTGTTGCCGCCTCGCTTATGTGTGATTTTGCACTCTGAAAATCGTCTTCCGAGCGATGACGTTCATCTTTGGTTCCCAACTGTGGTGTTTTCAAATGTTGTGGTGAACTTAGCAGTACTTCAACAAAATCTCGTTCTCTAAAATTACCTTCACGCATTTCACGATCAAAGCTTGTCTCGATATCGACCATTTGAAAATCAATGGCCAATATAAATCGTAACAGCATAATCAATAGTGCTATTATCCAAAGGATCATGGCTACGATATATGAACCCTTGAACAGCATTAAGTACACTTGATGAGATAGGTCATGTGGTCGAATTAGGGGTCTCAAAACAGACATGGCATCACCACAGCTGCAAGGAAAGACAGAGTGGATGTTAGAAAAAGGGTTTCAATATATTTAATCATGATAACTTAGTTACCTTATGGCATCTGGTTTACTGAGATTGCCTCTTAAGTCATTGCAAAAAGTCTTTACAAAGCCATTAGCTAATATCAAATAGCTTAGATTTGCTACAGTCATTATTGTGAACATTATTATTGAGGGAACCACGATGCGCCACGGTTTCGGTAGTCCCCTGAAAGAGTAAAAAATAACATTTTCTTAGAATTATGGATACTTATGTAAGTGTCGTAAATAATTTTAAAATAGGTGTTGATCTTCAATTAATATGCACGATTTTACTTACAATATGTAAGTATATTTATTTTTAAAGCCATAATTTTTTATAAGCATCAATTCAATCTATATTCCTTCGAGGGAAATTGAAAGATTTGAAGTATGTGACCTTTATATATACGTGAACTGACTAACACCAATCCATACATATGCATCTCTGTAACCTATGCTAAATTTCATTTCATTCGTACAGATTAATTTATATTAAATTCAATAGATTATACAAAATTATGTGCCAACCCGACAAACTTTGGGTTTTTAGTACACAATTTACATAAATATCTGAACCGATTTTCAGGAAACTTAACACACATCATTCTAGACTAAATTGAGTACGATATACCCAATTTCGTGCAAATCGAAAGATATGTGGGGACTTTGGTACACCATTTACATTAAATCAAGCGAAAATATATATGGGAGCTATATCTAATCTGATCCGATTTTCACGAAACTCAACATATATCATTCTTAACTTAATTCAGTACGCTATGCAAAATTTCGTCCAAATCGAACGACATATAGGGACTTTAATTAACCATTTACATTAAATCGGACGAAAATATATATTTGAGCTATATCTAAATCTGAACCGATTTTCAGGAAACTTCACACAAATCATTCTAGACTTAATTCAGAACGCTATGCCAAATTTCGTACAAAGCGAAAGATATATGAGAACTTTAATGAACAACTTACATTAAATAGGACGGAAATGTATATGGGAACTATATCTAAATCTGAACCGATTTTCACAAGACCTAACACACATCATTGTAGACTTTAAAAAGTACGTTGTGCCAAAATTCGTGCAAATTGAAAGTTATATAGGGACTTTGATGAAAAACATATATTAAATCGGACGAAAATTAACTCACATCATTCTTAACTTAATTCCATACGCTATGCACAATTTCGCCCAAATCGAAAGATATATAGGGACTTTGATGAACCATTTAAATTAAATCGGACGAAAATATATATGGGAGCTATATCAAAATCTCAACCGATTTTCTCCAATTTCAATAGGGTTCGTCCTTGGGTCAAATAAATGAGCTGTGCCAAGTTTCATCCAGTTCGGATCATAAGGGTGACCCATACTTTGTTTACAATTTAACATGGGCAGACAGATGGACGGACATGCATAAATTGACTCAGTTAGTTATACTATGTATATTCACCACAGTGAAGGGTATAAAAATATAAACTCACAATTATTTTAAGAGGGCTTTACAATGACACAAATATTTGTTGCGCCTGGAAGTATGCTTTATTTTTAATGTAACTTAGTTTCAACCGTTAATATATTAACGGCCAGGAACAATATCGTTATATGCAAAAACTCCTGCATGAATAAAATGACAGAATTTCATAGAGTTAGGGTTTTTGTTTTTCTGGCTGTGATGACTTTAATGTCCATAGAACCCCAAAACTTTTCTAATTTATAAGGGGAAATCGAAATAAATTTCGAACAATAGAATATTCTTAGTTCTTAGCTAATATGGAATGTACGTTTTTAAATGAAGTCGAAAAAGATAATAACGACGGCCAAGGGAACGGCGTAATACATATATATCGTTTTAAATAATCTTTTACATAAAATCAACATCTCCCAGAACTCACCATTGTTTTTTGACACCCGACTGAAATATTAAACACATTGCAGTCCATACTATGGCCACAATTTCTGATAGAAATGGAAAACCATAGATATATTGTACAGCAAGGTTTTGTGGCCAGCGGGTCTGATGAATATCAATTGTCACTAAAAACAAATTACAAAAAATCAGTCAAATAATGTATGTATAGCAATGATTACTTACTGTGTGCTAAATATCTACGATCTTTTTCCACATTGAATACAATTTTTGGCACTTTATTGGGTGCATTCGATTCATCATCAGCATCCTCGTTATCGGTTGTTATTGACGGTGTATCAGGTACTTTGGAATTGCTTGTCTGAAAGACATGGGCAATTTTGCGGACTTTTGGTTTTGTATTGGCAACTGTAAAAATTAACAACATGTTGGGATTATTTTTCTTATATTGAAATATGAAGTTTACTCACATTTATCTGCATCTTCCAGTTTAGGCATCACTAAGGCATCTGGTTTTATATCATCTAAGGCCGCTTCGGTATATGTCTCATTGATAATTCTACCCAAGTCATGATAGAAGAGATCCTTTTCATTGTTGTCCATTTGCATGAAATCTCTTTCACGAAATGCTAGTTTGGCACCAATAAAACCATTATAGAAATCAGCCGATATTATGTGTATCGAAATGCTCCATATTATTGAAATGCCTGCCACCAATATCATAAGGCATATTACTATGTCTGAAATGCGAAGGAATGGAAAAAATGTTATTACATTTAAATACCACTAGAAAATGTCAATGTATTTAAATAATCCCAGTTGTTCAATGAATAGCAATTGTCTCCTGTTCTATAGTTATATATCTAGTTACTATGTTCTCTAGTTATTTTATAACCAAAAGTGGCACACAAAAAAGACTATTGACTCCATTTGTTGATTGAAAAAATTGTCTAATTCTATAGTTACTGGTAATTCAAAAAGTAATGAATCGACAAACAAAACAGAAAAAACAATTGTCATTTTCTTCAAACTTTTTATAATTTTCTTAATTGTGTAAGCAAACGTTTAATAAAAATGTTTTTATACAAAAATATAAGCAATTTATCGTGGATATGATAAACAAGATGAAGTGCTGTGGATTAAAAATCTCAAGAATCGACAAAATACATATGATGAATCTTAGGTAAGTTTTGGTATTGCAACATAAAAAATAGATAACATAATTACACACAAACATAATTGTCTTACAGATTTTCAAGAAAGATGTCAATTCAGAAGCATCCAATAGATTGAGGAAACAATTAAATATGAAGAGGTAAATATTCTCCATATATATAGGGTAGAAACACATATCTTTAGTTATAATTTGTACCTTTTTATTTCAGAAGCTTCAATATTTCGAGGACAGATGTGAAAGGCGGTCGGGAAACAAAAACAACGCGAATGGAAATATAGTTATAAAATAAATAATAAACATTGTACAACATAAATTTGGAAATAAATTAAAAATACATAAGTTTTATACTTTCAATTTTCCAAACTGTTATAATAGCTACTTTGCTATATATCCAAATGACTGGTTACTGGTAAGGCAGGCAGGGGACAATTGACTTCCCCAATGACATATCCATATTAAATTCACCAGTCTAGGGAATGATGTGGTAACTAGTGGTAGTTACAGGTAATTAGTTAAAAGTCTAGTTCATAACCAGTAACTCGAACTACTGGGACGATTCTAAATTCTTTCATATATTAGAAAATAAATATCGAAAAACTTTAAAGAAAATTCAAAAGGATTTTCAAATTGTTCGCAAATGTGTGCTTCATATAAAAACGTACAGTAAGACAAAACAACAAAAATGAGATATTACATTCCATATAAAATAATATAATAATATATACATAATAATATGTATTCAAACTAGAAGCATAAAAAGGCATTTCCTCATAGAATTCGTTAAATTATTTTCAAATGTTACACAGTCGTAAAATGTTTATACAAATTCTTATGTCATGTATTAAAGCATTAAAAAATTATTTAAAAATGTAAAAATGTTTACCATACTAAACAGAATTTCATTGTTTACAAACGTTCTTGTAATTCGAATATAAAT